TAAAAACTATGTGAATTTAGTAAATATGACATAAGTGAGTTGATACTTGCTATCCAATGATACTTTCTTAGCCTTGATATGTATATCTTACGTTGAATGTTAGTCATTCAGTGAGCTTTGTAAGCTTACACTTGTTGTTAATATTTTTCAGATAACTAATAATTATTTTGGAGCTTAAGAGACAAAACACTTGGTGGTGATCAAAGTAAGGGATCTATTTCAAGTGTACGTGATCGTTGATTTTGTTTTGAGGCAACGTGGGAACTATATTTGGCTTTTATGTTCGGTTTTATTAATTTGATACTTTAATAGTTCTTAAGGACCTATAATGACCTATGTTGAATTGGTTTATGATTTGAATGTCAATTAAAGTATGTCGAAGTTCAATTGCGTGTTATGCGTGATGTTCAAGTATGCTTCATTTGACCAAAATGTGAATTATGCCTAATGGAATGTGCTAATCATCTAGACAAATTATAATTATGGTACATGATGTGTTAGACCTATATGAGACTTGAAATGACATATAATGCATAAAAATGACTAGGTAAGTAGTGTAAAGTTGACTTTTTATGCAATTGACTTTTGATTTCAAAATTATATGGATTTGTGTAATTGATGTTATAAAGAATTTAACATGTGTGTTTTGACATGTTCTAAGTGTATCAAATATGTTTAAGTATGTTCATAGATCATAGGATCGATTGCATGATCATTTGATAGTATGTTCATATGCATTTTCTGTATTTGTTTAGAAAAATGATCGATCCCTTCAGGCAAAGGATCGATCCCTCCCCTAAAGGATTGATCATTTTCTAATCTTTGGCTACTAGAGTGTAAAGGATCGATCCCCAAGAAAAGGGATTGATCCCTTGAGTTTAAAATCGTATAAAACGGTAAATTGCATTCATTAAAGACCTAAAAGATCCCTTAATTCCTAGAATGATCACTAAGCTCTAGAATGAATTCAAATTGGTCTAGAATATGTTTTATTAATTAAAACTTGGTCAAAACTCAGATTTACTTGAAATTTTTTCATGATTTACTTGAAATTTATTCTTTCATCCTTTAATGAAACTAATAACATAATGAACCATTAAATTTGGTGTTTTATGCTAAAACGCATGTTTTAAAATATTTACATTTTAATCCCTAAAATTCGTATGTCTAATTAGGTTCCTAATTGAAATTTGTTTCCACTGTAATTTAATCATGACTAGTTCCTATTTGATAATGTTTAGTAACCTGGCTATTTTTGAAAATTTATGTTAATTTATTCTATGTGTTGTAAAATGAGTATTTTCCCTTACATGATTAACTTGTCAATTGAGTTAATATGGAAGCATGATTTGATTGTAATCAATTACATGTGATATGAACTGTTACGTGAATAAACACGTTGTTTGTTTATTTACAAGTTTATTGCTTATAATGTACGATTAGAAATTTGTTTGTGTTCGAGTCGCTTCAGAGTCTGATGTGACTTTTAAATTATCCAAGTTATTTGTTGTGGTGGGTACAAGGTGTAACACAACCCTTCTGATTCGGGTGAAGAGCTGAGAACGATGAGGGGATGATTGTTCTTCGATATTTTTTTGTGCTAGGGAGTTGGTCATAATGGAGAATAAGAAGGTGGGATGTACATTGTGGAGGTTCCATCCTCTTTCAAGTCTTGGTTAGGGGTATTTATAATGACTTTTAGTACGTGTATTGGCCGTAAAATCATTATGACTATTTGTAAATTAACAGGCTAGACAGATCTGATTGCCAGACCTTGCACTATATTATGACGAGTTACATGGATCAACTAGAGGTTTTGTCTACGTACTGAAGTTGACTAAGAAACCTATATTAGAAGGCGGTAGGCTTATTGAATCTTTAGTAGGCAAAGGGATATGTCTAAAGACCTCAACCGATAGAGTGTTAGACCTTCATCAAATCTGATCTAATAAAGATTTAGAAATTTTCGGATGCCATCTCTTAAAGTATAACACTTCATTTATCATTGTAATCACCATTTTTGACATGCCCTGCAACCACAACCATACCTGTTGCAACCACCATGCCCTGCTATCCACGCCAACACTCCATGACACCACCAACTGCACGAACCAAATCAACAAGCAAAATATTTTTTATTTGAAAGATGTAATGGGTATATAACCCGAAAAATCAAACAATTGTAGGGGATTTATTTTTTGAAATAGAAAAAAGAAGAGAGCAAAATTCCTTCCATCGTTGCAAGATTCGGTTTGAACCTCCTTTTTATTATTCTTTCACGCATGCATATATTTTCAAAACAAAAAAGATAGTAGAGTAGAAACATTTTATCTGAATTGTTCGGAGTCCCTCATCAGAGCTTAGGTCGCCGGGGTTGGGAGTTGAAGCGTCGGCGAACGAAAACTTTAGATGAGGGTTCGATCATTTTTTGTGTGTTTCTTTTGCATTTAGAATCAGGGCCGGGTTTAGGACGTTGGAGGCCCTGTGCAAATTCTTAAAAAGAGGCCCTTGCCATTCCAGGGGCCTTGCAAATTTCCTTACTAAAAATTGTAAAGTTTGAATACAGTATATATAGGGAGATTGGTGATATTACTAACTCAAATCCTAACGATGTGGTATAGCGAGATCATGAAGATGAACTTATCTCTCGTAAAGTGGAGTTAAAAAAAGAGATTTTATTGTAATAAATCTATTTTTTTGGGCCCTTGCTATTTCGGGGCCCTATTCGATCGCTCATGTTGTACACCCTATAGCCTCGCCCTTGTTTAGAATGGGACCCGACCACTGATGGTGGTGGTCGAGGTTGCTCATCGCCGATTTATGACATCCTAAGGGGGTTGGGGGCTTTCGGTCGAGGAAGAAAAAAAGTAAAAGTGAAACTTATTTTTGGTTTGTTTGGGCTATTGGACGGTCTCCTAAGCCTTTACCGGGGTTGAACGGATGTGGAGCGCCACCGTTGAGCGTTGGCTGAGCTTGGTTTGCGGTGAGGGTCGCCAGCCGCATGAAGGAGAAATGTGGAGAGAGTTGAGAGAGATGAAAAATGAGAGGGGGAATATTTTTTTCGTACAGGAAGGAATAAAAAGGGGGTTTGTTTTAAGATTTTTGGTAAATCACGTGTCAGGTCCCCCGATTTCAGTGTACTTTATGCTTTTGTTACCCAGAATTAATCATGACTAGGCCCCTCATTTTAGAACCCTTTTGCATTCTGGTCACCATTATTAGGGCTAAATCACGCACAGGTCCTTCTCGTTTGTCGTGTTATGCATTTAGGTCACTATTTCGTGGGTTAATCACCCATATGTCCTCATAACTTTGCCTTTTTTTACACTTTAGTCATTAAGTGGTTGTTTTGTTTATTTATTTCGATTTTGACATCCTATTGAATTTTATTTCAATTTGGTCATCATTTTGGATTCTGTTTATTTTGAAGTTGGTCACTTATTTTTATTCTGTTTCAAATTAACCACTGATTTTTATTATGTTTCAAATTAACCACTGATTTTTATTTTCTTACACTTTAACCACTGTTAAATTTATTTATTTATTGCTATTATTTGAATCGACCTTATGGTGACCTGATCCGGGGTACAATCCATATTGTTATAGTCCAGACTCTATTAACATTTAACCACTAACTGCTAACTTATTTATTTATTTATTTATTTATTTATTTTATGTTCAAATCATGTACGACCTTGCGACGACCCGTCCCGGGGTACGACTCACATTATTTACAGTCCGGGTTATAAATTAAAATTAATGATAACATTTTATTTTTATTTCTTTATTTAATTTTATGCACCTTTAAATTTATGCATTTTATTTTTATTTATTTATTTTTAGTCCTTATATTTTATTTACTTTAATTTTCTTATCTTTTATATATATATATATATATATATATATATATATATATATATATATATATATATGTTTCATATTTTATCACATCGAATGCCTTATTTTTTGTTATCTTGCATTTTGATCCTTATGTTATTTATGATTTTATTTTATTTAAGCACTTATATTTGTGTGATACTTATTTTTGGGTCTTTGCTTTTTATTGTGTTTATATTTTTACCATTATAGTTTAAACTTTCATCATCTAGCATTATTAGTATAATTTGGATTAATTGGCTTAATTTTTTTATTTGGTCTAATCAAATTATTTTAATATCAAATTCTTGGGAGAAATTATTACATTCTTTTTATTTCAGTTGGAAAGAGAAATATTCGTCCTAAACTATTTTAGGGATTATTTTCTCTTTGATTGGAAATATTAGAATATTTTCAATTTCTCCTGAGAATTTTTCGTCAAATAAAAATTGTATGGTTAAATTTGGAATAATAGGATCGTAACTTAAATTTATATTCGAATTCTTAGATTTCCACTATTAGAGACAGTTTATAATCGATGTGATACCAATTTTAGGCGTTGTGGGGGTGCTTATCCTTCTTCACGTGTGATCGACCCCCAAACTTCTTTTTTATTACTAAAAAAGAATGAACTTTTGGTTACACGTAGATTGATGCATATTTTAAAATAATGTTTTTTTAAAAACTCTTTTAAAAGACAGTTTATGGATATTCGACCTACATAACACAAAAGGTCGATGGCAACTCCGAAATATTTCTTTTACAAAAATCGAATTTTTCAATAATAAGTCAAGATATGTCATATCGCCGAAAATCGGTTACGATAACCGCTCATCTCCATTTTTTTAATCTATGACAGGATAAATATCCCATCTATATTAAATCCACTAGTAAAATAAATATAAAGGATTATATCAAAAGCTTTCTACAATTGTAAAAACACAAATACTTCATAAATTTATAAATTTAATATTTCATTTATGATTTTAATAACTAATTGCAATTTTAAAATTAATTAAAATATCACAAATCCACTTTTCAATAGATATTTTAAGAGAACTATTTCGATTTATTATTATTATTTCATCTAATTGTAACGTTATTCACTAGTAAAATATTTTATTATAAACTGTTCGCGCGACGGCGCGAGCAAATGAAAAAGTTTGGGACGACAAGAAAAGAGAACAAAGAGCTGGCAATGGTACGCGCGCGTTATCAACCATCATCTCGTATATAAGAGTGTCTTCTTTATCGACAAAATCTCAGATCATCTTTCGCTTTTCAAGGGTTTATCGTTAGTCGATGCATCCCTCTCTTAACTTCATGTTATTCAAATCTGCAGGCGTTGACTTCAAAGTCAATTCTTTTTATTGATCCAAATTTTTGAAAGATTCAGGCTTATCAATCGTTTGGAATCGAAAGCAGCGTGTAATACAAATTTTGGGTTGTCAAGCACTGATTATGCACCTCAAGTTTTACAAGAAACAAGTCAAGAACTTGATGAAGGTGAGAAGAAAACGGTGTGATTTCTGAAGCTCAAATGAAGAAAACTCGAGTGGCGGAGGGTGAGGCTGAAGGCCAACACAAACAAAACCGCACCAAATCTGGGAAAACTCAAGCTCAAAGGGATGCACATAACAAAAGCTGTCAACGGTCTCGACAGAGAATCAAAGTAGAATGATTAACCCATCATCAAATTCCATTTTCTTTTACCTCTGTTTATTTGTCTTTTATTTCTTAATCTTTGCTTGGTGTTCTTTTTTATAACTAAAAGAGGAGGCGTGAGGAGCTTGAAGAGGTGGAGACCAAGTACTATGAAATGGTCCCGAAGTTTAAGAAAATGCAAACTGAGAATCGGGAGATGAAACTGGAGCTTGTGGAAGACAAATCTATAATTCGAAAGATGGAAAATGATATCCAACAGCTTAGGACAACTCTTGAGGCTCAGGTACTGCGCCGTCCATTTCTCTCTCCCTTTGAGATAATATGGTTTCATTAGAATAATAATTAGCTTAAATAATAACAAATTAGCTATGGTTGGTCTTGAATATATGCATATGATCATTATGGTTTCATTGTGTTTTCCAGATTAGAAACGAGGCACGGATGAGGCAAATCCCCATGGAATGGAAAGTCAATGTACGGAAATTTGAATAAGAATGGTCTTATATTACGAATTTTGCTTAGTACTCAACATTTGGTTAAATCTATCTATGCATCTTTCATTCAAAGAGTGAAGATCAATAATACTTTTCTCTCCAATTGCAGGGGCAAAACTTTACTTCTTTTGACGAGGTGCGCTGGTTAAGTGGTTATGTTGTATATAATTTATGAGCTTCCTATGTTCCATAGAGTGTTGAACTTAATTCTTGGTTGCAGTCCGTAGGATGGTTTTTGACACAGACGAATGTGCAAGATGGTCAGGCTTCTGGAACTTGTACAACTGTTTTAAATGATGCAGAGGCATGCAACTTTCCACTTTTTATGGCTGATTTTGGTCAGCAAATCGGTTTCGGTAATTGCATAAACCACGAGTCTCACCTTGATTGAATTCCTTGGTGTTGTATTAATAAACTTTTAAGATGTTTGCAGGCCAGGACTACACCAATGCTGCAAATCATGCTGGCTCCTCCTCTGCTGCAGGTTTCTGTTCATTTTGCTTACATCTTACACTTCTTTTCCCAAATTCATGCCAAAGTATTTACATGTTTTTTTGGTAATGAAGTTCCCCCCTCCCCTTTTATGTTGCTTAATTTTATTCTTGATTACAAGATCTTCTCATGGCTTTCTATTTTTTTTTCTTGTTAAATTAGGAGTTTGGATTAATTCTGTTGCTGGTTCCTCGGATGCAAATTATGATTATTCTGAACTTGGTGTTACAAACAATCATGATAACCTTTTCGATAATGACCTTGCCGCCGGTAATAAACCAAGGCCTTTTGCATTCATCATACTGGTTTATCTTGTTTATTTGCAAAAAAAATTACATGTTTTTATCATGGTACAAAAAGGAAATTTGCTTCTTTGTTATTCAATTTTATCCTTAGATTAATAATTTTTTTGTTTGTTTATAATTTAGGAGTTCAGACTCATTCTGCTGCTGTCCTCTCCTTGGGGGCAAATCCTCAACTGCCCATTGCACATGATGCTACAAATGATCACGAGAATGTTGGTGATCTTTTCACTCTTGGTCCTGATGCAGGTAATAATTCAAGTTCTACCTTTCTCATACCGGTTCATCTTGTTTATTTCTTTGTTCTCCCCTAAGACTGACAAATAATTTTACATGTTTTTCATGGTGAAATCTCTTCTATTTTGGCTTCCTAAATTTACTCATTCTTGATTAACTTTTCTTGTTGATTTAGGATTTCAGCCATGTGAAAATCCATCTCCAGGGACAGTATGGGAATGGTCTTCATAAGACTCAACACCTCAAGCAACACTTTAAGTCGTCGATAATCCATCTGAAGTGTTATCTATGTCGGCTCTGAGTTTATCATGATGTTGTTCCCTCCATTGTTTCTGTTAAATGATGTTGTTTCACATTTGCTAAATAAGTTTCATGTAATCTTATATCAAAGTTGGATGAAGAATTGGAGATGGTAATCACCGGCATCGTTGGAGATTGCCAAGAACTCCCCTCGTCTTTTACAATAATCGCAAACATATGCTTTAGCCATGTTTAGTTCAAATACATGTTCATGCTTTATGTTCTGGATTTGCCTAGGCAATGAATGCCCTTCTTTTTTCAAGCCTTCTTGTATCTCTTCAATGCTTGATTGAGTGAATGGGAATGCCTTGGCACTATAAAAGGAGATTATGTTCTCCTCGTTTGTGCTAATCGGTTTTTTGGTTTGATCTGAACTAATGTGGGGATGGCTTTGATGTTGATGATCCGGCTAGATATTGTCGAGGCTGGTCCTCAAATGAAGTGCATACTGCTCATCATCGAAGTCGAAACCAAAACAACCTCAAACCGTCCTCCCCTGCTGCTCGTATGCTTCTATAAGCTGTGCAGTGAAAGCACAGCATGAACTCAAGTAAAGGCCATTGACCTTCCCAATAAATTGGGATACTAACCCTATATTACTAGCATAAGATCACTGATAGGGGTTATTATATAGAATTAGACTGAATTTCCCAAATCCTGGGGTTATCGCTGTAACGCCTGTCACGATCGCACAAGAGTCGCACGAATTTAGCTATTTAGGGGAAAATATGCTACAATAAGCCGCCGTGTGGTTGTGGCATTCTTTAGTGCAGCCATCTTATTTGAATGTGATGACAGTTTTATGTGGACTGACAAATTATGAAATGTTTTGAATTCATACATCATACATCCTGAATACCTACTAATAAAAGCGTATACCAAGCCTGTTAGATTAAAATTTAAATAATTATATTAACAGGGATGAACGTAGAGTTTTATAGATACATCAAAGGTTTTCTCATCTCATAATTTTCATCATAGTTTTCGGTTTGAGTACGGGGCTGGCTATTTGGGTTTGACTACCGTGACTGATTCTTTTGGCCACGAAATGTGATCTACACTCATGGTATCAAATGTTAATGACTATAATTCTACTTCAGCAACGGAAGGTTAGAAGGTGTTGTGTGCTGTGGAGCTCCGTTTTAGGCTGAGTGGAGCTTTTAGACTTATCTTTATGGAGCCTTGGGGATGTCGTCCCCAAGTTATCTGTAAATAAGTTGCTGGTTTGATTGATCTCAAGTTCAAATATGTAGAAGAGATGATTATTAAACTAGCAATTTAGCATTGGTAGTCACCATTGAAATGCATTGTTTTCAGTTTCCTTTCCAATAACAGCAACAGCAAACCCAAATTTGATTTTTACTTTGTGATGAATTACATGATACACAGAGTGCAGAGACACTTTCTGTAAAGTTAAAAATCATGTTGTGAATTCTAAAGTTGCAAATTCAAGTATGGTACGACATATATTGTCCTTGGAAACAAATAAAACTACCCTGCTTCTTCCACACAAGTTGGATGAAGATCGTAATCGCAGGCATCGCATGAGAACGCCCAGAACTTACCTTGTCGTTTGCAATAATCGCAGACATATGCTTTCAACATGTCTAGTTTAAGCACATGTTCATGCTTTATGTCCTGGATTTGCCTAGGCAATAAATCCCCTTCTTTTTTCAAGCTTGCTTCTATCTCTTCGATGCTTGATTGAGTGAAAGGGAACGCCTTTGCACCATACAGGGTGATTATGTTCTTCCCATTTGTTCTAATCGGTTTCCCATCTGGTCCAATCAGAACCAATGCGGGAATGGCATTGATGTTGAAGATTCGACACAGATCTTGTCGAGTCCTGTCCTCGAATGGAACCGCCAGCCATGACATACCGCGCACATTGACATCGAATTCGTTCTGGTCTCTGTCTGAAGAAACCAAAACAACCTCAAAACATCCTCCCCTGCTGCTCCTTAACTGTTTGTATGATTCTACAAGATGTGCAGTGAAAGCACGAAATGGAGGACACCACTGTGCGCCGAAGAAAAGGCCGACCGTCTTCCCAACAAGCTCGGATACTAATATCTGCAAAACCCAAAACATAACAGGACTCATAACTGATACATTAACCCTATGTTAATATCATAAAATCACTGAAAATGTTACCTTTCCACCATCGCTAGCAATGACATAATCTCGTCATGGACCAGCTAAAAGTTGATCAATTTTTCCTCCTTGACGCTTCGAATCGTCGAGAGCATTCAATTCTTCTCTTTTCTTCCTAGTGAATTGAAACGCATCTTCACCATAATCTTCAATCAATCCAATCAAGTCTTCATCAACTGATTGTCCATCCAAATTTACTGGGACGAGGGAGGGAATTCGAACGACATGAAACCTTTCGCGTAATCTCTTGTGCAAACCGACATTAAACGGGATGGCAAGCCACGGCATGGTCTTGAAGTGAGCATTGAATCCATCGTCATCGTGGTCGAGGGAAACGAACACAACTCAAGCTCTTTTCCCATTGTTCTTAACGTGTTGTATAGGTGCACCAATTTGGGGGTAAAACCATGGCAGGGCCTGCACCAGTTTGCAGAGAAGAAAAGGCAGATAATCGTATTCTCGTCATCAAATGAAGTTAAGGGTACCTAATAACACAAACATGCATAGCTGTTGAGTAATTTGACTGAAAATCAAGCAAAGAAAATAAATTTAATTTGTGGGAGTACCTTTTCTTCACCGGATAAAAGGAATTCAACTTCTTGAGATGCCAAGATGGTGGTGAAGTCCAAAAGGGGCAAGCTTTCGCCCTGATAATCTGGCTTTTCCATGGCAACAGCAGGCTGAAGTAATTACAAGGCTGATATATTTTTACTTTTATCTGCAGAGATTGTTCATAAGATTTGGATTGCCTTAATTTCAGAGGCGTTTTATAAGGTGTGTCAATCAATATATTCTGCACATCAACTCACGAGAACTTGATGAGCAAATTTTATTCTGAACATGCAAAGCAGGAATATTCGATGAGCATATAAGTGAAGGATGAGGACGCAGAGCAACAAGTTTCAGGGAATTTTGTGCCGTAAACATCAAATATAGGTGGAAGCATATCCAGTTTTTAATCGTTTATTCATATCTTAATCTTGACTATGATGTTTTTCATTGGACCCCTTTTTCTGTTTTGTTTTACTGTTTGATGGTTTTGGACTCAAATCCATTTTTGTTAGCGAGCCCACTTCAAAGAATACCATTTATTCTTTTTTTTTAATCAAAAGAATCATTAAAAAGCAAGGCTAATATATTAATTAGGGTGATTTAAGGGATACATAGCTTTATATCACTTAATCAAGTCTTGAATAAAAGATCTTGTATATATAAAGAATCATCACTAAGAAATATATCTATCAAAACTAAGTATGCAACATAAATTCATTCGAATTAGTTAAAATAAAGTCTTCGAAAATCGAGAGAGTGATAAAAAGTAGTAAAGTCAATATATATATATATATATTGTTTTTTTTTTGTTTTTTATAAAAATAAATATAAATAAATTTGAAAATAAAAATAAACATACCCAAAATCCATTGATATAAATTCGATTAATTCATATCTCATAAGCGAAACAAGAATCTATCTTATCGCTCCGTTCTCCATAAAGCTGCCCCTTCTTTTTTCCTGTAAGGGTTAATGAAATATTAAATAAAGCTTCCACATTTTTAATTATTTACTAAATTATAAGAATCGTGAATATAGATGAAAATTAAAATTCATTCTAACTTTTGGTAATATTATATTGGCATAACCATATAATTATCCTCGACATTTGTACGAATGGTTTTTTTATATTTTTTATAGTATTTATGGTATTTTGTTCACAATATTTTACTTTTATGTCAAAACATTTTTTGTTAAATGGAAATCGTTAGTTGACTAACAGTTAGCATATGTTACTAATATGATATTTTCACATATATTCAACTATTGATGTGACATGTATTATATTATTATTTTAAATAATATAACATATATAATATCATTTTAAAATGAAAAAAAAATAAAGTGAATATTTATACATCATCAATTACGAAGGAAGAAATAATCCAACCCTTTTAACATCTACCATAGAGACAAATTGCAGTGTGGTCATCTCAACTATCTACGCTTTCACCTTCTTACCCATGTCTCTTCAGCTTCAGCAACCAAAATATGTAATTAGACGCCTTTAGAGTTCAACCCTTTTAGCTTCTCCTTGTAATCTTCCTTGTTGGCATTCTGGTTGTCATCAAGCCACTCGAGTGCCCCTTTTACGTTTGTTTCAACTTTTTCCTTTTCATCGGATTCAAGCTTGTCAACAACTTTATCTTTGTCACTAATCTGTTTTTTCATGTTGTAGACATGGGTCTCCAAGCACAGGAATTAAAATAAGTTTCTGAAAATTCAACTCTCAAACATTTTACATTCAAGTAAGCATTTCTATGTGTACCTGAATAGAGACCGTGGTCTGCTGGTCCTGATAAGTGGTGAAAACTTGTGACTTTTTGGTTGGGATAACAGTGTTTCTAGGAATCAACTTGGTCACTATCCCACCAACAGCCTCAAAATCAACTCCAAATGTAAAGGAGTCACGATAAGGAGAAGAATATATGTGCAGAAGAAAAAGCAGTGTTACCTAATTCGCGGTTAACTTTGATCCGTGGAACAGGTATAAAATCACAATTCGTTAATTTTACCATTTGCGGTTCGTGTGGGGTAGTATTCTTCGGAACGAATTTTGGGATCATAGTTTGTGATGATTTTTTGTTTGATTCACTGATTTTTTTAATAATTTGTCCATATGTTTATTTTTTTATTTTAAAGAAAGTATTGTTTTTTAAAAATATTTAAAAGAAAATTTGAATACTTTATTAATGGATTAAATTATACTTAAACCAGCATCTATTGCTTTTAAAAAACTAAAAAAAAAATACACAATATATAATGCTTAGCAACCACTAACATTAAGTCAAGCTAAACTTAAATAAAAACAAAAAATTGTTCTTTCCTTAATCTGCCAAAGTCTCTTCCTCTTCATTAAGATCATTCTCCAAGTCAGCCCACCTCATGTCTTCATATCCATTGGTGAATCATCTAAGCATGAACTTCCTGGATCTATATCTCATTTTTTGTAAGGGTCATTCTTATAACCATCACTGTAACGAGAAATAAGACGCAGGTTGGAGTGAGTGTACATTAACTTATCTGTCATTGAACAATTTAATTTATTCTTTTTTAAGTTGTGTACATGCCCATAGATGCTCCAAACTCTCTCCACTGAAGAAGAATGAATAGGTTGAGATAATACTTTCTTTGTCGCATCCGCTAATTTTGGAGTTTGAGACTAATAAATGCACCACCAATTAATAGCATCCATGGTGACAACATTCATTTGATCTTGTGGCATAGAATATATTTCTTTTTTCACTAGAATTCAGCAATTTGATCTTGCAATTGTTTTTCTTTATATGCATTTTCACCAGTCTTGCCAAAAGCCTACATGAAACCCACAACCACCTCCTTATCAAGGTTAGGAGCCCTACGAGTAAAACCACCAGGAGCCGGAGTATCCAAGTAAATATGATCATAAAAACTTGGTGCAAGAGCAAGACCTAAACAATGTAGAGGTATTGCCATCTGATCACTCGCCACCAAAATTTGTTCCATACTAGAAAACTCATGCTTGTATTTGCTAGTAGCCATAATATCTTTGCTTTCTCCTAACATATTGTCCATCCTCTCATAATTTTCTCCCATCCTAGAACCGTCATCACAAAATTTTAACAACATATAAATCGACTTTTGGATTCTTACTATCTCGTTATCCTCATCCCAAAAAGTATCATCATGAATGTTTTCAACTACCAAAGAACCAATTGTCTTAGTTGTTGCATCATGTTTGTAATCCAATCTTTCTATGACTGTCGACACCGTTTTTCTCCCAGGTGGGGAAAAACTAGTACAACTCAAGGGGTTTTTTTAAAAAGATTTTGAAATGTGAGGAGTCGCAACCAATCATTTTAAGTTGCGAGTAAGACACCATAAAACCGAACGATTTTTAATAAAACATTTTATTTTTATCAAACTACCATGTTCAGGGCCTACGAAAACCAGAAAATAGGTTCGAGAGTCAATTACGTGTGAGGAATGATTAGCACCCCCACAGTGCCCAAAAATTAGTACCTATTTGATTACCCTATATTTAAAATTGAAATATTTTTGACTTCGAACTTCATCTAATTTAAAAATCAATAGCATGAATGTGGGAGATCAACTATTGTGCCCAATAATCGGACATTGCCTCTATATTCTAGAAATCATGATGAGATCTTGAAAAGGCTGTCGACTTATTTCGGGAATCACCAGTAGTCACCCTCTGAGCATACTTGCGGGAGATATACTACTGACTCTCTAACAAGTGAACATTGCCTTAGGTTTTAAAATAAGATGCAATCAAACAATTTATTATT